CGGATCGTCATCCAACTCAGACCATAGTTTTTCAAGTGCTGGTGGAACGCTAACGTAGAGGAATGAAGGTATTATTACAAAGAAATAGTAGCGCACATAAAGAGGTGGGTTTCGTCCATACTGCCGCCGACCTGACAGAAGTGTCAGATGAGAACAAAAATGAGAAAATCAAAGTAAAACGGACTTTGGACGGATAACACCACACTGGTAAGAAAAGTCCCAATAGATACGATAATGATGATAGATAGATAAAACCATGCTGAAAATTCATTGTTAATCAGTAAATTCATGAACTGATAAAGAATTTTTATACGGACTTCACGCACGCTACTAATTATGCAGATGACGTAAGAATTTTTAGAAGAAAGTTGCTCAAAAAAGAATAAAGTCCTAAATTTTATTAAGGCTGTTTCTTCTTCTCGGTTTCCTACCTATCAATGGAACGAATTCGCTTGTTGTAGGCATTTGATCCGACACCATTAACATTAAGATGGACATGGCCAACAGTGTGGTGATTCCTGCAAAGAAAGTGTGAATTTTGCGGTGGCCATGTTTTCGTTTTTGATCTTTGGCTTTCTCATTGCATTCGATATTTTTTGTGCTTCTTACAACTGACACCAAACACTTAAGTTCTAGTTAAGTTCTAAGTAGAAGATTTTTAGACACTAAAAAATTTAATCTAGCTTGTCCAACTCAATCTACGTTTGCAGACTATGGTGTGCTTAATGGACGTACCTAAGTTGATTTTCTCTGTTCTATCGTCATCCGTCGAAGCTGGTGTAAAAAAGCCAGTGATAGAAACTATAGTTATAATGGATGTAGGAATAATCAGATTTACAATGTAATACAAAGGCTTTCTCTGGATTACGAGGGAAGCTTGAAGAATCACCCATGGTTCCGCACAGCAGGCGTATTTGTACTGTAAAATGTTCATTATTAAAGGGAATTCATTTCTGCAATACTGCTTCCAGAATCAGGTCGGATCCTTGTTCCCTATTACAGCTTAACTAATCAAAGCACGCAGATTTCATTTTGTCGTCAAGCCCCTGTTTCTCATACATAGATTGAACGCCAGCTGCTAAACTAATTTTGGACTAAGACAATCAGCGGCTTGTTCCCGTTCCCGGAACTTTGCGTTACGACAAACGACTTTGGTCAAGCTAATAGGTCAAAAATTAGCCCTTAAGGAGTTCGCCGAGCGAACGAGAAGTTCCTGGTTCCCGATTTTAGAAACTATATAACGGACCGCTTTGCAAATTCAAAGTCAAGGAACACCCTCTTCATACTTCCACCTATTTTGATGTTGAAGAATAGCCGCAATACCTCATGTCGGAAGATTTTGAAAGATTTGACGTCCCATTCCTCGTTGGGAATAAACGAAGCAAGATTTACTTCCGGATCTGCATAGTAGTCTAATGCGGACTTCGAGTTGGTCCAGCTTGATATTGTCAAGGTACAGTTCTGTCGATCATAAGGGAAGAACCTAAAATTTGATATTTTGCGTTCAACTTCGAGATGTCTCCTCCAATCTACAATTTCATATTTCCGGATCCTTCGCGCTGATGGTCATACAGAATAAATATCAGCACTTTGAAATCTAATCAAGAAAATTTTTGGAGTTCTCTCAAACATCCTGTTTTCAGATCGAAGTTTGACGTTATCAAAAGAAGAGTCTTGCCTCTAGAGCATAGCCTTATCGTGAAAGACAGTAAAGACAGTAACAAAATTTGTTTTTCTATTAGTTCTTCTGCAATGTGTTACCACTGCGAAAAGTTTTGAAGTTGCCCACCTAATGTTCAACCTGCAGGTGATCGTGTATATAGCCGGGTATAGGAAAGACATTTGTGAGCCATTTTCGCCCTTCCAGTGATTTGATTCTACCTGGATATTCATGTACCGTTCGGTTTCGTCGCGGCTCATCTTTACGCTAAAAGAATGATTGTAGATACATTTCTGATTCAACACGCAGAATTTGAAGAATTCGATGGTTTTTTGCCAATGAACTCAGAAAGGAATCAAGAACTTTACCAAGAAGTTACGAAAATAATAAAAAGAGAGACTTGTAGTTATAAATCAACCTGTTATACAAATAAGTGTCCGGAATCCATAGATACTTGTACGGAATGATCGTCGAATTTATCATGCCGTAATCACGTGGATCCCAGGTCAGATACTCGTCTTTCCATTTTTGAATCATCCATACGTTTAATTTGATGTTCTGTGAAGGCTCATCCTAAAAGATAATAGACTCGTGGTGCATGGAGCTTCTGTTTTTGAGAGTCGCTATAACGATAAGGCTGGTGCTTACCACTTCTATAATCTGATATAACGAGATGCTGATGTGAACTTTCAAAGTCTTCGTATGATCGATAATTGGTCGCACTCGAGTGTCATATCTAAAATCATAGCAAGGATTCTGGTGACATTTCAAAAAAATCCAAAAAGCTTATGACAAATGGTAGATTCTAGTCATGTCAACTAAACTCTGTTCCATAATTGTCCAAGCATTAATTTCAGTGTTTGGATGTCGGTCTATGATCTATCATATCAAGTTGTCTTGCTTGTGTTGTTGCTTGACTAAAGGTTATGTGAATTTCGATATATCGTCTTCTTTATGATTACGCAAGCGATGTGTTCGCTTTGTTACTATTTCATCTTATGATTTATTACTATTAGAGTCGCATGCATTACATCCCGCTGGGGAGGAAATCGCAGCTCAAAAGAAAGCTGCATATCCTGAAGCTCC